TTCTTATTTTTAATCAGTACCAATTTCGAATCCTACTGCGGCTTTTTCTGCTTACGGTGGAGTGTGGACAAAGATTAATATGCCTACCAATTGAGGTGATGTCATTAGATCATAGATTCAAATGTTTACCTTATATTAGAATATATTGCACGATGAGTATGTAGTTTAAAGGCCAACAAAATGGTTGCACTTGGTGACACATCTTACATGACCATCGTAAACAGGAGAGTAAAATGCTTCAACACCTTGAGAACCAATATCTGTTATAACCATCAATTCGAACCAAGTGTAGACCAAACAAAATCAAATCAGATATTAAAGCTAGGAAATTGTCATAATTTCACACTATATATCAACTTGGGGAAAAAAATATATACAATTTTATGCCACACCAAGTTCAAATAAATTTTCAGATTCTACAGTAAACTAATGCTATATAACAACACAAAACACAGGCAAGACTTAGAGACCAAGATCAAAGCGAAACTGCGAAAGCCTTCTGATACATCATTTCCAATATAGGTAGAGTTGGCAAGGATCATATTGAAACTTGGGTGACATTTTAAGAAGTATGCTTTATGTGCTTCATTTTCAAATTGAGACTCATTATTCTGGTGCCTTAGGAGAGTGATTTGGAGAGAAAATTGATGATGGTGGATGAAGAAAAGGAGAGCATGCTAATAATCCTGTAATCCTGTGTTTACTTGCATCGGCTTTTATCCGCCATGAACGGTCATCTGCAGAGCTATGGCGGTTGGTCAATTTTGGTGTAATGAATTGTCCAATAAACCAAGTCCAATAAAGAGAGGCAGTAGAATTTAAGGGTTTAAAATCGATCTGTCATCCAAGCCGTCATGCAAATAATTTCCCCTACACAAAGTCATTTTTTATATATATATATATATATATCTATTCTCTTAAGCTATTGAATGTTTTTTTTGTTCGTTGATTGTTGGTGCTCCAATCTAGAATTATTTAGAAATTAATCACTTATTAATTATACATACATAAATAATATTCAATTATCTGCATGAGATTTGTTTTGTTATTTATCAAATTATTTATCAATATTTATTTTTATTTATCAAATTATTTTTTGTATTTTTATTATGTATTATCTGCATCTCATCTTGAAGACTTGCATAACTCTGAATTTTTAAACAAATATTAATCACCTTTTATGAATTTATTTTATAGATTTTATTTGTTTCGGATGCTTTCGATTCTCAGCATTGTTAGCGTTCTCACAGCGATTCTATGTACCGAGACACAGAAAAATGTTTGCAGACGGATGCTTTCGATTCTCAGCATTGTTAGCGTTCTCACAGCCGGTTCTATGTACCGAGACACAGAAAAATGTTTGCAGACATGATGACACTAACGTTCTCCGTAACACAGAAAAATGTTTGCAGACATGATGACACTAAACTTGCACACGTATATAAATATAAATGTTTTCATACTCTTTTTATATATAAATCTATATATTATAAAAATTGATAATTTCATTATAATTTTATTTTAAATTTAGTAAAAGAATAATATTGACATTTATATATATATTGTTAGAACAATTTATGACTTAGATTACTTATTTAGAACTCTCTCTAAGTTTCTCTAACTATGTAGGAAATATTTGATTAATCTTCTAAAAAATAAAATAATCTTGATATAAATAATATTGTATTTAATTGTATTTTTTTCAATTACATATTGATGATTTAAATAACTAAATATGTGTGAGATAATATTTTCATTAAATTATATTTTTGTGTAAATATTCTATGTAGAGTAAAAAAACCTTGCATAATTTTCTTTCTCACAGCATGAGCTATATCCATTTGGTAGTCAACAACAACGACTCTCAACGTGATTGTAGTGGCGTCGCCATTCAGCGGCCAATGTGTTTCCTCCAACACGTCGTTGGAATTGGCTAAAAAATTGCAAATAAGTTACAGATGAATTAGATTAATGTTTGTAAATCCTTGCAATTAACAAATTCTTTAGGTACTAATTTGGATGTTAAATGATTACCAACAAAGCTCGCTCAATGTGTGTGTATTTTTTTTTTTTTATCGAAACGATATTGTGAAGGCCTTGCTAAATTGCTAGGCAAAAAAGTGAACACCTTGAAATGAAACAGGGTTATGCCTATGCGTTCAAAGACCGAGAAAGAAATACACACCATATGAAACTATTTACAGATATACTACAAAAGGAGTTGAACAATTTCCAAGCAATTTACTTAATTTTCTTACTGTCTTTCTTAGCCTCGTGTTTAAACTGAAGATGCTGCTCAAGTAACTCTATGGTGGTCTTTTGCTTCTGCTTGTCCTCCAAGAGCTTCATGACCAGATGACCTCATGCTCGTGCTTCTCATTTCCAATTATCTTCAAATAATCTTCCTTTTCACCTTTGTAATTTTCTTCATATGGTTTCTCAATTGGTTCCCTGACAAATAATGACAAACATTTCAACTACTTGTTTTTGTTCATATTAAACTACACATAAAGTACATCAACATGAATACATGATCATAAGCTATAAGAATGTTGGCAAAATGCTAACATAAATAATAGAAAAAACAATATGAGAAAAATAAAGTAAAGAGGGGGTGCAAACTTGCCCTTCACGTACCTGACAATCTCCTGATCCGGAGGGAGCTGTCTGAACCCTTCCCTCACACTCCTAACTGATTAAAACTATATATCCAGATTTAGCAAGCTTAACAGAGATGAGTGTCCATAAATAGAGCCATTTTGACAATGAAAAATAGTTTTGTTGAGGAGGTAAGCACAAAGCTTATTAATGGGGGAAATTCTATTACGAGGCCCAAATTTTTGTAATTGTATCAATTTAAGGCCTTAATATTGTTCTTTTTCAATCGAAGGCTTACATTGTAGATTATTCTTAATTTAAGGTTTACATTTTAAATTATTCTTAATTTAAGGCCTACTTTTTAGTTAACTTTTCATTATAAGGTCTAACTAACTCTACTTTTAGATATAAATATGTGAATCAACTGTTATGTGAAAAAAAATATTATTATTATTTTTTCTTGTATTTTACATACTTATAATAAACAAAATAATAAATATGTTTAGTAAAATTACATTAATAAGAAAATGAAACTATATAAAATACAATTATGCAAAAGTTTAACAGTGAGCATTTTTAAAAATTGATAATTTGAAAAATATGAAATTAAAATATTATTTTTCTTAATAATATAAATATGTAATAAAATAAAAAATAATATTTGAATGATATTGCGTTCATTTTAGCTTTTTAGGATTTTAACTTTTCTTATTGGACGCAAAAATTGATACCATAGTACATATTTAGTTTATTAATAAAAGTAATATTTCAATTACATATTTTCAAATTAACTTATCAATTTTTTAAAATAATCATTATTAAAATTTTGCATAAATATAATTTATATAGTTTTATTTTTTTATTAAGAAATTTTTACTAAAAAACTTTATTATTTTTTATTATAAGTATGTAAAATATAAATTACATGAAAAAATAATAATGATATTTTTGTTCACATAGTTGGTTCACATATTTATGTCAAAAAGTAAAATTAATTGGGCCTTGTAATGAAAAGTTAACTAAAAAAGTAGGCATTGAATTGAGAATAATTTAAAATGTAAGTCTTCTATTAAAAAAAATAAAATTCAAGCCTTAAATTGATACAATTACAAAAAATTAGGCCTTGTACTGGAATTTTCCCTAGTTCCCAAGTGATTTAGTAGAATACTAGAGTTTTCATAGAGTGAAAAATCCATCCTATAAAGCTGAATATGGAGACCTAATCACTTCGCTTACACCGAGTGAAGTGCCAGAACATAGGCTTGGCTTGCTGAAATTAAAGTTCAATGAGCTGAATATTGAGGATATAGAGATTGACGAAGAGGAATTTTCATTCAGCCTTTGTAATTCTATATAACTCTCTCTCTTTACCGTCGATGAGAGAACCCATGAAAAAGAAGCTATATCAATAATCAGGAATCCACTTAAATGAAGTCCAATCACAAAAGAAATATATGTAATTTAACTGATTCTTGGATGATTTTCATCGTTTTATACAAATGGGACATAATAAATTTAGTAATTTTTACATTTTAATTTAGTTTTTGTGTAAGGAACTGGTGGGATACTTTTAGATATTTTTTATTTGTTTTCTTTTGTTCCCTATGAGCTATTCTAATTCTGTTCTTTTTCAAGGGACATATGGGAACACATGTGTTGTTGTTTTAGAGAATACGATGAATGACATGATACAACATGACACAATTCGACACAATTCCACACAATACAAAATAACAAAAATAGTTATATTTGGACTATTATCTTATTTATGATCAAATAAAAAAAATAGTTAACTTAAGCGCGACACTTAAGGGGGTGATTGGATATGAATTCAATTAGTAAAAAAATAGTTTTTTTTTTTAATTATAGTTAAGTTTGAAAAAATGTGGTATGGTTAGTGGGTAGTGGATATATTAAAATAATATTTAAAATAAAATAATTTAAAGTTAATTTGATGTAAAAATAGGAGAAAATGATTGGAAGTGATAGTTAATTAAAATTATGTGAGTTGATGGATAATGAATTAAAATTGGTGATGTAAAAGAACGATCGGGTGATATTAATTAATTATATTGATAATAGTGGAGGTGGTGGAGTTGAGTTAAATTTGAGTTTCGATTGATTTTTTTACTGTACAATCTATATCCAATCGCCCCCTAAAAAGTTTGGATGCTGTTAAATTCAGTAAATGATTAAATTCAAATAATATCTAAATATTAACCTTGTTTTATCTAAAGGACCTAAAATGTAGTTATCTATCGTCTTCTTATTCTAAATTTGGGATCATTCTATGATCATGCAACTTTTCACTACTATCATGCAAATTGTCTCAACTATTTTCCATCGGTGAGTGTACCTTAAACAAACAACTCCTTGTACTACATAAAATGTTTTCTTCAAGGGTGAGGACATTCTTTCTATGTGCTAGGGTGATACTCAAATGAGAATGGAGTGATGATGAGATTATGGACGGAATCCAATTCTGCATACAGGAAAATGGTCAATTTCTGGGTAGGTAATTTTTGTTGTGAGTAGGCTTCATTCAAATTTATTGAGTTCTATATTACTTATTAAGTGAGTGAATGCAACATTTGACTGTTTTTTTCTCTATTTATGCATAATGATGTAATTTCGTTTACGTTTCACTTGTTCCACTATTTGGTTCAACTTTATACATGACAACGCACTTTACCTTTCATTGTACAATTTAGTTGTTATTTCGCTATAAAATCTATTTCCTGTAAACCATTTATTTTGAATCATCTTCAAAACTTTGTAGTGTATCGATATATTTTAATCTTAGTACTTATGTTAAATTTCAATAGTCTATCTTTTTGTGGCATTTACTATTGACTAATTTTACAGATAAATTGCACAAAGAATTCTCACATGATTATCAGCTAAATTTGAACCGGCTATGCACGTAATTATAGACTAAATTTGAGCCAACAATGTCGTGCACAGCTTAAAGGCAACTAGTGTTAACGTATGTAGTTTAAAGGTCAACGGAATCTTTACACCTGAAAATCTTTACACCTGATGAGACACATCTTATATGACTGACAGTAAATAGGTAAGAAAAATCAATATCTGTTAGAATCAATAATAGAACCCATCAATTTGAACCAAGTGTAGATCAAACAAAAATCAAATCAAATATCACAACTATGAAATTATCATAACTTCACACAATATATTAATTTTGGGTAAAAAAAAGAGACAATTTTATGCCACACCAAGTTCAAATAAATTTTCAGATTCTACAATAAAGTAATGCCATACAACAACATAAAACCGAGGCAACGCTTAGAGACCAAGATCAAAGTGAAAGCCTTCCAATACATCATTTTCAATATAGGCAGAATTGGAAGGATCATTTGAAACTTGGGTGACTTTTAAGAAAGTATGCTTTATGTGTATACATACATCTAAAAAAAACAAAATAAAATCAAAGGACGTTCATCTCTTCATCACTTGGTCCCTACAAATTCGACAACGAAGAAGCTGTGGTACCACTTGGCAATTTTTGATTGGCCCAACAAGAGATTAGGTGATGTGCAATCGCGAAAGGTCCCGGTACAAACATGGGAGCAAGTTCCCCACTCTCCACATTGAAATCAGAAGAAAGGCTTTGTTCTTTCACCAACCCTCTGCACATTTGCTCCACCTTAGCAGCTGCTGTCTTCTGTGCCTTACGGTATTCGGCAAATGTGAGAGCTTTCTTCACATCCTCTCTATTATGCCATTGAGCATCTATCACATTTTGAGGTGGGAAAAAAAATGAACATCTCTCTACATTACATCATGTTTCGAAAAACAACCGTGTTCTTCGTAGGTCAATAATATAAAAGGACAAATTACAGAAACTAACCCTGAGGTTTTGGTCATTCACAAAAAGTGCCCTAAATGTCTACAAGTCGCCAAAGAGTTGTTAAATGAGGTTTGGTTTCTGTTTAAATTCAAGGGGATGATTTCCATACAAAACAAAATCTAATATAGCTTCAAACAGAACTTTTTTTTTTTTTTTTTTTTTTTNGGTAACTTAGGAAATGCTATGGGTGTTTTTGCAACTAACCATACCTCGAGTGTTTTCTGTAATCATCCCTAATCCTATATTATAATGCAAATTATTTAAAATATGCAAGTGAGGAGCAATTGCAGAAAGTACCTTCAAGTTCAGCCTTATCCACACTTATATCAAGTGTTTTTGCGTATGCAAAGAACCCTACCATTAGCTGACATGGCATGCTGCTAGGTCCCACTGAGGAAACACCAAATGAGACACATTTTAACTTAGCCTGATATCAGATGACTTTGAACAAATGTAGGAGAAGGCAAAATTTTCACTAGTTCAATTATACTATTCCAAGAACAAAATGTTCACAGTAAAGACAAGCATAAAAGCATTCTTAACGTTGTTACTACACAGAACAATGAAAAGTTGATAACCAAGTTCTCCAAAAGATAAGATGATTACTTCAAATAGTAATAGCGTAATGTACAAATTTTATGGGCAAAGCATAAAATTGGTGACTAGTTTCAAAGAAACTATCAAACATTCATTAAAATTTTCTTGAAACAAATTTCAATTAAAATTAATATTAATATAAAACAAACCTGAATCAAACAGCTAATTAACAAATACCCATGTCCAGATGAACTCCTCGTATCTATTATCCTCTCACAGACTTGTAAGTATATTCATATATGATCAATGCCAACAAGGGTTTTGCACAAATCTTAACCATGAGTTAAGAAACACGAAATTTTCCTGACCTACGAAAAGATAATGCAATAAAAGAGATGGTTGCACAAACCCCTTTAGGCACTTTGGCTGCTAAAAATTCATGCTTTAGAATCTTACAACTCACTCCAATTTCAACTTTATACTTTATGGTACCACAAAGCTGCCTTTCACAGGGCGGGTCATTTGACAACATCACATATTAAGAACAGCTATTTTTTTTTCCCGTCTATCACCCATTACACCGGACATGGATGGTTTCATTATTAAGACCAGAAAAATTACTAAGCAAATAAACTGAAGGGAATTCTGGGGGCTAGTAAGCAAGCCAGCTTTAAGCATGATAAGAGACAAAATTTATTTCAGCAAAGCGGTAGAAACATCCAGATGGGAAAAAATAAATTAAATTGCAAAGAGCAGCATTTAGTAATGCTTTCCCAAAGTGAGGTTATTTAAAAAATATCATATTTAGCAAACTTCACCACGTGACAAGCCTGAAAAAGATGAAATACATATAAACAGTGTAATCAATGGCAACCTCAACATAAATTCCAAAAGAGCAAGCAGACAACGAACTACAAGAAATAGACTAAGTACCCGGCCATGGCTGAGAACTGTGATAGACAACCTCACCAACTTCAATGCCTGTCTCCTCCAAAGTTTCTCTCCTGACTGCTTCTTCTAAGCTTTCTCCTGGCTATTCCCAGCAAAGGGGGCAAATGAAGAATAAGCACAAGCGAGAGCAGGGAAATAAAAAAAAGAGAGAAAACTACAAAATTAACTATGAAAACAGACCTCTATAAAGCCAGCAAGGCAGCTCCACATGCGCGGCACGAATCTTGATTGCTTACTTAATAGTGCCCGGTCATTCTCTTTGTCAATAACTAACATAATAACAACCTGACACAAGAGAGTCAATTAGGAAACATGCCAATATTTTGAAATAAGAGAACAATATCACATCACGCACAGGATCTAAACGAGGATAGATCCTCTTTTTGCACAGCTCATTCGAACACTGCCTCCTTTTCCCAGCTTCCACAGAGACAGACTTAGATCCACAATGCCCACAAAAACGTGCCGTATCATGCCATTCTAGCAGTGCTCTGGCCTGAAAAATACAATATTAGATATGCAAGAAAACAGAAAAGAGATGTTGAGTAATAGTAGTACATAATACTTTGCTGTAAATGCAATACTCAAGAATGAAAAGGTCCATATTTCTCCTGATGCACAACATCAGTGTACGACTATTGAATTAGACAATGAAAGAGAGAGTCAGCCAAACTAATGGACAGAAGTTCCCAAAAACAACATTAACAACCAAATAATTACAGGCCTCATCAACAATCAAAGCCGATCAAAACAGATTTTTCGTATTTAATAAGCTCTCGCACCAACGCCTGAAAAGCCAAACACTCACATGACCAGCAACGGCGAGCTCCCCCATGGCCTTAGCATCGGTCCAATCAGTGGCGACCATGAGAGTCCTCAGCTCCACGAAGCAAAACCTCCGAGCTCCTAACTCACCAACCAACCCGCCGGCATCCGAAACATCCACACCCCAGTACACGACGTCGTCCCCATAATCACACCCCAAGTACACCAAGGAATCATCCTTTAACCCAATTTCAGAATCCTCCAGATACCTTTTGCACTCCCACAGGCTCAGCCAGCCGAGACGCCACGTGGGCCCGTCCTCCTCGAGGCCGGCCAGCGGCCTGCCCTTTCTGAAGGGCAAAACCCTGAAATCGGGGGAAACGGGTCCGTTGCTCGGGCTAGATAGCAGGGACCGGAGGGTTTGGAGGGCGGATTGTGGGGAGAGGGCGTCGGTCGGCCTCGGTGTCCTTGATCTCGACGGATTGCCGGCGAAGGCGTGGAAATTGAGACTCATTTTTCTGGTGCCGAAGGAGAGTGATTTGCAGAGGAAATTGGTGATGGTGGATGAAGAAAAGGAGGGCATGCTAACAGTGCTGTGGTTACTTGCATTGGCTTTTATCCGCCATGAACGGTCGTCCGCGGAGCTATGGCGGTTGGTCAATTTTGCTGTGTGGTGGTGACAGCTGTAACGTTGTGGGCTATAGAGCCTCTCTCTAATTAGAACATTTTGATTGGTTTCGACTTTCGAGGACCGAATGGTGCTTTATAAATTTTCACTTCAAAATTCAATTTAATTCTCTTCATTATTATCAATATAACTAAATAATATCAATAAATTATTAATATATAACATCACAAAGTTATTATTCCAACTCATATACTTTTAACTCTTAATTTTACATTGCATCAACTTTAGTTATTACATTTTAAATATTCTTAAAATATAAACTCAAAATTCAACCATAATTTCTACTTAATTTTTTTTTTAAATTAACTCACTTTTTCTACTAAAATATGAGTCGAGAGAGTAGAGTGACCAATTCAGTGTAAGAAAATAAAATTTAAATGAAAGGAACAATTAACAAACTTGTCTTCGTGGAGTCTCTGATCACTACCCTCAAAATTCATTCATTATCAAATCGATTGTCTCCTAGAGTATATAGTTTGGAATTACAAGTAAAGTCTCCCTTCTAAACATATCACAACCATACCCGATCATACTGACTAATTCTCTGACCATAACGTGGACTAAACAACTAAACTGGAATCCCGCCAAGTCGATTCCAATATTTATCCCAAATACCTGAAAGTACAGCGACTTGTGCTTTAGTCTTTCAGAAATGCAGGAATGCAAAATTAAAATCTCGAACTCACAAACTATAGAAGATATAATAATCAACTATTTCATAAACTCTTAAAATATAGACTAACTCAACATGCACAAAAGCGAACAATACGATTAAGCTCTTGTCTCTGAATTTTGTAACCCAATGTGTATAGACAACATACAAATCCTAACTAGATAAGGACATACTTGGTTGACATGATTTTCAATATTCTTCTTTCGGAGTAAGTTTCCATCTTATAAAATTAGTGTATGTGAGTTGGAGATGTTCAGAGTTCGCGTTCCCAAAATCGTGCAGGAAGATGACTTCCCTTAAATATTCGATCTTCAAAATCTGAGAAATCTTGCTGCGATTTGACAATTTAACCAATCAATGATACCAATGGTGACATCACAATCCTTACCTTGAGAACTATGAAAAAAAATCCTCTAGTTGATGAGCAAATTCATACGTTTTCATTAATATTTTATAAGTTAAGTTCCAAATGGTAGGAACGTCCGATTGGATTTTTTTAGGTGTAAAACCTTTTTTTCTACAAAACTTTCCCTATTTTTTCATTTCTTGTGGATGACGATATAAGTAAGTAACGACATTTCTAATGGGCATGACAAACTTTTTCAAAACATGAGAACCCGCTTGAACACAAAAATTAAGGACATGACAACGGATATGAAAAAATTTTCTCCCACAAAGGAACGACAAATTTCCAGAAGCTCAAGTATAGATGCAGTACTAGCACTAGCATTATAATAATAAAAAAATAAAAAGGTTCTTTTACCAACTCTATAACTATTCAGGACACGTGAAGTTAAACGAACGACATTAAAAGCAGTGTGAGCAGTAGAAAATCTCGTATAAGCAATTAAATAGTTTTGTAATTAATAATATTTCCAAAATCATCAAGTTATTTGACCGCGCGTCGCGACGCGGCAAATTTAAATTTATAAGTTTTCCTCGACTAACCTCTACTAACTAGTAGTAGCGGCGAGTAAGGGTCGATTCCACGAGGAGCGGGAATCAAATTGTGACAATTCTCGTATTAATTGAACTTAAACTAAGAAAACAATAAAGGTGGGGGGATTGATTTTATAAAAATAAAAATAAAAATAATAAAATAAAATAAAAATTAAATAAAATGATAGAAGTCCAGTTTTCAGTTCAGTTATCACCCAATCTAAATCTACCGTTAATTAATTTCGACGCCTTCTCTAAATTGCCGATAAATTACCAACCCTAGCTAACAACAAGCTCTGTTAACCGAATTTTCCATTACCGAATATTTAATCGAAATAAGCTCTTCAACTAAACCTAACGAGTGGACAACCTAGAATAAGCTCTCTATATTTAGTTCACTAACAGCATTAATTTCTAGGAAAATAGATTAGTCTAAGCAACGGTCGCAAAAGATTGGTTATTGCCAATACGTGTGTGCATTTTCTTAATAGTAAAAGATTTGGGAAAGAATGCTTCATGGTTTTAAAATTGGGCATGAACAAAGCATTTGATAGGTAAAATGGTCCTTTTTGTTTGCCATTTGTAAGAAAATGAGTTTCTATGAGACCTTCATTTATTGGATTTTTCTATTACATTTGTTCTTCTTTCTCTTTCGATGTTAATAGGTGGCCCTCTGGTTTTCTCCACCCCTCTAGATGAATTAGGAAGGGAGATCCACTCTGTACTTATATTTTTATTATTCTATATGAAGCCCTGTATAATATTTCTAAAACAAGCTTCTTCGTTTCATTCTTTTCAAGATATCAAAATTAGTAAACATTCTCCAGTTGTTACTGACATATTTTTTGCTGATGATTCCATTATTTTTTGCAAAGCGGTTCACTCTCATGCCACTTGTTGGGATCTGCGAGGATCTCGTTATGTACAAGTCACGAATTCAATAGCAAACGTAAATCTATTCGCAACGGATCTAAAAGTTTGATGTAGAGAACTTACGGCTTAAAATTTATGTAGATCTGGTTGACCACGAACGGTTGACTGCAATTGATTGACCGCAACTCACGTCTTGGGTTGCACGAACAAGATCAGATCAAAATCGGATCAAACGGATGCAAACAGATCAAAACGAAACTTGCAGCCTGGGAGCTTCCGGCGGCGTGTAAGGGTGCGTGAGGCGTCGGACGGCTACGATCTCAGCAACGATGGAAAGCTCTCGTCGAGACGGTCGTCTGGGTATGCTGTACGTCTCAATCGGACTTTCGGTTAGTTCTGTAGGTCAAAATATATTTCGTCTCGGTTTACCTACAGATCTTCTACTGTATTACTCAATACACCCTTCTTCAACTTGTACCAGTGGAGCAACAAGAAGAAGATAAAGCTCGAATGAGATCTAGAGAGAGAGAGAGAGGCGTAGGGGGAGTTATTCACGTGTGATTAGGAATTCTCTTCCTTTCTCATGAGCTCAATGATGTATATATAGAGCTACAGTAGGGACCCTTAGGAGATTAGGAAAAGGGCTCCTTAATTAATTAGACTAACTGTGGGCCAAGCCCACTCTTCTAATTAATTAAATAATATTAATGGGCCACCAATATTATATTATTGCACTCCTTTTTCTTAGCCCAAATTACATTTGAGACTCCAATAATAATTACTCGATTTACCTCCCCACGTTTAAGATATAATGTTCATTAATTAATTCAATTACTGACAATCAAGAATTAATTAATTTATTATTATTTCACCGAAGCTAGCGCTCGTTCATAACATTCTTATTATGCCGGAACTTAATCCACCTGCAGGGTTTAGCATAATAATCTTTCATGAACTCACTTCGGGGACATCATCAAACTAACGCACATGGTGACCATAAATATCCTAACAACACATCCTATATATAATAATATTATCCAAAACAGTAGGAATATTAATCCAGCGAACTGAACCTCACCCATGTGAATCAAAGTAATATATATTATATATATCTGCCTGTTTAATATCTTACGGGTTAAGAGAACGCAGTAATTAACCGAGGCCTAGTTCATTTACGACGATCAGTATAAAATAAACTTCTCCTCTTTGGGATCCTGTTCAATACATAAATGTACTAGTGCAACTAATCAGTCAAGACAAACTGTACAGTTGACACTACAACCGTTCGGATGGGGTGTTCATGTCCATCTCGGTTGTGAACAACTATTCTTGTTCGCAAGTGACTGATAGAGTGATCTTCGGTTCGCCCGATGACGACCCACCCTATCTAAGTGTAGAACAACAGAACGTAGAACTTGTTTAATCTAACATGATTCTCATTCATAAAGGGTAAATGTGTAATAACATGCAAAGTTAAGCTTTCAGTATATAACACTAACACCACTTCCATTGTAAAAATTCTAAGGAGGTGTGGTAATGACTTTGGCAAGAAAGTAATTTTAGGTAAATCATTTGTCTACTATTCTTAAAAAATACCCCTGCCAGTGTCATTGTTGAGGTTTGTTCTATTTTTCAAGGAATCTCTGTAGTCTTTTAAATATTTAGGTTTACCTTTAGGTTTGGGAATATCCAAAAGAGAAACTTTTAACTTTGTCTTAGGCAATGTTATGAATAAACTTGGTGTTGGAAGAATAGGTTTCTAAGTGAGGCGGAAAAAGCTCATAAAATATGTCTTAGGTGTCTTACCAACTTTTGTAATGTCTTGTTTCAAATTGCTCCTGGCCATTTGTAAAGTAATTTTCAGGTTAACAACCTTCTTGTGGTGGAGTTTTAATGATGATGGTAGCAAAAAAATTCATTGGGCCTCTTGAGACAAATTAGCTCAACCCAAAGATTTTGGTGGACGTGGCTTTATATGTCCTTTTTTTTCTTAATTATTCTCTTTCAACAAAGCAATCTGGAGACTTACTACTAAATCGAACCCCCTAATGAGTCAAGTATTGAAAGGCAAATATTTCCATAAATCCTCCTTGATGGAAGCCCAACATATGACCTCAGACTCATGGTTGTGGAGTTCCTGGCTAAAGGCAAGAGTACACCTCAAGAAGAGAACAAGAATCCTAATAGGAGATGGGAAAGATACTCCTCTCTGGTCTGCTCCATGGATTCTTGAATTGCATGATTTCATGCCAACCTCTTATTTTAAAGGTGATAAGAATAAACTCCGAAAGGTTAGTGACCCCACGAGTACCTGTGGTAAGCACTGGGACATAAAGTTAATTTGACAAACCTTTGGGCCTAAAGAAGCATATCTCATTCTAAATATTCCATTGAATAGAAAAGGCCAAAAAGACAAATTGATCTGGTTAGCTAATAAAAAGTGCCCTTTCACTATTTAATCTACTTACAAAGAAATAATTAAGGCTAAAAAGGATGAACTTCAAAAACCAAAATCAAGCAATAGTTCAGCTAAAGTTGCAACAATTTGGAGGAAAAATTGGTCTTTAAAGATGTAGGGTAAAATTAAGAATTTTTATGGAGATGTTGACATAATTACCTCAGTATTTCTGATCAGTTAAAAAAGAAATTCTTGAAGGTTGATTGTATTTGTCATTTGTGTGGAGAAAAGGAGACGGATGAGTTGGAACATATTTTTTTAAATGGCATAGAGCTGTTCGAGTTTGGAAATTAGCGGGAGTGGATTGGAGTGGCGTACTGAACTCTTCAGGTTCTTTTAGAACTTTGTGGGCTGACATATGCCATAGTAATGTTACTTGTTACATAACATACATGATTAATCTTTCAACTTATATACTTTGATGGCTATAAGGGACTAGAAATAGTTGAGTTTTTAAAGAAGACTTGGAAAACTGATATAGAAGTAGCAAGAGGAGCATAATTTGAAGTTTCAAACCAGACAACCTCTTGATATGGTCTTTTTTTGGAAAGTTGATGTTAGGTTTTCCGTTCTGGTTTATTGTTGTGCTTCTTGCTGCTTTATTATTTTTTGGGGGTGTTTTTGGCTTTGCTGTTTTGCTCCTAAAGGTTACCTCCTTAGCTAGCAATGCATGTTTTGTTGGAGTTTTGTTATTTGAGTTGTTTGTTGTGGCTTGGATGTGCAACAAGGGATCAAATCTCTTGATTTAGTGGTTGGAGTCTTACTCTTTTATCTCTTTTGTCCCTTCTTTTTACTGACTTAGTTTGTCATTGGGGGCTTTGCTTCTCTCGCTTAGTTCTTTAGTCTTTTTGTTTTTGTTTTTTCTTTGGTTAGGTTGAAATTTGTTTCCTTTATTTACTCTACTTTTTGATACCCAAGTTCGAGGCTTATGCATTGACTAGTCCTGAACCCCACACCTCCAACCCCTCAAACGAAGTGGGGGGTTAAATCAAGGGATGTGTCCTACTAGTGATACAGTCGCTCCTTTTTTATAACCTTGGGTCCCAAAGGGCCTACTACCACAAGAAGAATTACCAACCTGTCCCTCACTTGTCAAAATAAAACTATCGATGGTTTCTCTTTTTAGGATTCAAACCGCCTACACGGAGCTTGTCGATTTCTATAAGTAGGTTGTGTCCCAGAGAACAAAATTTTGGAGGGTAAACTTTTTATACTAGCTAGCCCCACTGCATTGTGGCCTCATCCTCAAGAAATCTCAACACTGGCTTGATCCTACGGTTAGTATACATTAGTTGACCCTAAACATATGAAGGAATTTTTTGAGGGACATAGTTCTAGTCATATCACTTGGAGAGATTCGAACCTGGGACTTCAAAAAATTTGTATCCATTTGAGGCATACTTTGTAATTATTTGTGTTTTCCTTTTAATAATATTTGATTTAATGTTTCTNTTAAAAAAAAAAAAAAAAAAATTAAACCCAACCAATAATGCTTTTTATTGGAAACAAAAGGGAGAGCCGCCCATAGCATAGCAAGTACTCTTCGACTTTCCAACTTCACCATCGTGACCATAAGAAAATAGTTAAAAACTGCCATTCACAATTTACTCCACGTCTCCACCCACTCATTCATTGCAGTGTCAGTCCCCAAATCTGTGAAATTTGAAAAGACACCCAATACATTTCACAATATTTGTATCAATCCCCCACATTATTTGCCTGCAAATGACGCTCTGCATTCCGTACGGATTTTTCAATTTGCCCTTTTCCAATAAAAAATTAAAAAAGAATAAATAAATAATTTAGTAATTTACACACAAATTCATCATTTGCCTTCGTCCCTTTACACTGCTTTCCTCACTTATCAAGAAAACTCCTCCATTTTCGGTTTCCTCTCTCCACACTCTAGCTAACTCAACAACCATGTCGCAACCGTGGTTCACCGGCTCCGGCGCCGGCGCCGGCTCCGCTCGCCCACGAACCCGCACCCGTCCCAACTACCACCCACCCCACGCCCGCTCCCAGCCCGAGATTACCGTCACTATCCCCTCACGCTACGCCTCGCGCGGCCGCCGCCAGCCGCGGCGCGACTCCCCCGGGCCGCTAGACATCTTGCAGGAGTTCGACGACCTAGAGATCACCTCGCAATTCGGGGAAGACGCTAAGCCGGAGACGAAAAGTGCCTCCGCTTACGACGACACCCCGGTGGAGGCGACCGGGTCCGACATTCCCCCGCCGGCGACGTCGTTTCTGGAGATAGGGTTCTCCGGGAAGGCCTTGATCGACAACATAAAGAGGTGTGGGTACGTGAGCCCTACCCCCATACAGAGGTACGCGATCCCCGTGGCCTTAGCGGGGAGGGATTTGATGGCTTGTGCGCAGACGGGGTCGGGGAAAACAGCGGCCTTTTGCTTCCCCATTATAAACGGCGTTATGCTGGATAAGGAGCGTAGCAAGGTCTTCAACGGTAATCGAGGCGGCCCTACCCGTTTGGCGTCCCCATTGTCCCTGATACTAGCTCCGACCCGAGAGCTGGCTTGTCAGGTGCTGGTGATTTGCATTTTTATATGTTATTTCATTCCTTGTTTTCCATTTTTTTTTTCAGTCTGAAAATGTCAGGTTATATTTGATTTATCTGCATTTTGGGGTTTGTTTGTCACTGATAATCTTCGTCTTCTATTTTTAGTACGTGTTTGCTGTGAGCTTTCTTGATTCATCCCACTTTTTCAATGGGTCAATGAACATGGGCTTTTTTTCTTGTTTTCTGTTTTCTTTTTTTCCTTGCAACAAATGCCGTTTTATCTATCTTTGGTTAGCTGCAGTTGGTTCATTTCTGTTGCAGTAATCTGTATAACATTTGTTGAGCTTTCATTATTTAAAAATCCTAACCTCCTTAGTTTTTGATTCATTATGTAGTCGATATGTTGTTGTTTAGTCATGTTGAGCTGAATAAAAGATAAAAAGAGAGAGGTCAATAAATTGAGAAGGTTTGGGAAACTATATTGCTAGTATGGATTTGGATGTCCTTATGAATTACATTTTGATTTCAAATTATGGGTTTTGTTTTTCTTGTTCACTTTTAACTTTGATGAGTTTTGCTGGTGTTGCTTCATGTGTAGATTCATGATGAGGCCACCAAGTTCTCATATCAAACTGGAGTCAGAGTTGTGGCTGTTTATGGTGGGGCTCCTATTGTCCAACAGGTTTGAAAGCTATGTTATTGGACACATTTGATGTTATTGAAAAATACATGAGAATATGATTATTAAAATATCTTGTGGATTCTATTTCCTACTTTCTGTGCATGTAGAGCATATGTTGTTGAATATGTCTAGAATTATTGTGTGATTATAATTGAAACTGCATAGGTATTTTGCCTATCGGCAAACTCAAACATGACAAATTCATAGTGTATTGTAATTGAAATTCGACAATTTTGTCCTTTTCTGCATTAGTACACAAAACCTTATAATAAGGATTAGTTTAATGCTGCATCAGGCTTAAGCTTTTCTTCTGGTTTATTATGGGTGTTGGTTTCTGTAAATACTAAATAGCAGAATACCCGCAATTAAAATAAGTACTGGAGCTAATGCTTTCCTACTAATGAAACCATATGCCATTTGTCCTAACCTTCACATAACTAAACCAAAAAATTTAAGCCGTAGCATCCAAGCTATTGTCACAGTTTATGTCATTTTGTTGTTCATTTTTGCATCTTTTAATTTTATACCAGATTTTTTTTCGGCCTTGTTGATTTTTAGTTGCGAGTTAGAAAGCATTTTTCTCGTACTCATCTCAAATTTTCTTACGCTACATTAGTATATCTACTTTTATTTAGTGATATATCAATATTATTTGGTGTAGATAATGTATGTTTGCAGTGATTCGAAAATAATAATTTATCAACATTTCTCATTGTAAATATCTATATATTAGTTTCTGCAATTAATGCACGTTGCCACATAAGCACATTGCACCTCAAAGTATTGGCTCATTTATGTTCAAGTAATTTGTCCACCGTTATAATGTATTTTTAACTGCAAATCAATGTTGGGTGTCACGATATTGAGAAAGACAAAATGAAAGGTGCAATGGCGATGGTGTGGTGTTTGACGTTATAAGGTAGCAAAAGTTTAATAGACTGCATATATTTTATCTTATCTTCAGGAGCTGGAAAATGTTTCTTAACATACATCTGAAACCAGGATTTCAGATTTTTCTTAATTAAAATATGTACTTGAAAACTAAAGTTTCTTTGAAAAAGTTGCTTCTTGTAGAATTACTTTTTATTTTTTGTACTTAAGATTAATCATATAATTTTTGGGTCTTACGTTCCTTATGAAACTTCAAATAAATTACATTTTTCTAAGTAAAGATTTTTCATCTAGTATTTGCATATTATTAATGTATTACTGCGTTTATTTTGGTCAAGAATATGCATCTTTTAAGCGAATAACCGTATGGTCTTTTCTACGCCCATTGCTATTTTTGGTGGTTAATAATGTGAAATTATTATGAAGAAAAACGAGATGAATTTCTAGAGTGAGTGGATGTTTGATCTTTGATGAGTTGAATGTACGATTTGAAACTATAAGTAAATGAAATTTTTTGTGTTACTTTTTACATCTCTTGCTGAATATATCTTCACCTATCTCTACGTTCTAATTTCCTTGGAAGACAATTGTCGTATGAGTATACGGTGGTTAATTGTTTCTTTGAGACAACATTGAACATTATTTATAAAAAAATGAATAGTGCCAAGGTCTTCCTTATTTATGTCTTACATCATAAATTGTTAAGATACTGCATAATCTCTAACCTGCAACCAAAAAACTATTTAAGAAAAAAAAAAAAAAACC